CACCGACCACAATATTAATGTAAAATATCCTCAGTGGTAGACGGATCAGGGGTTAGAGTCCCCTTGCCGTCAGGCTAAACGTGGGAGGTTTTTGTGGTTTTCCTCCCCCTGTAAAGTAAAAGCTGGTTAGTTCCATTAAAAAGTCCTCCACGGCGGCAAATTTCTATCAATATTTGATCCAGAAGTTCCCTTGTCTTCTGGACTAGGTTCAAAATTACAAGGCTAGGGTGTTGAACATTAGTAGTCGTAAACCCAAAAATTAGGATGGCTGTCCAACGACGGTTATAAAATAAAATAGCAACATAAAGCCGTGATGGCTCAGGGGATAGAGCTTTGGCCTTCCAATGAGGTGAATCGGGTTCGAATCCCAGTGACAGCTGTTCGATACGAATTCCGCATCCGGTTTGCAGTACTCAAGTAAAACATCTTCAGTGGTAAACGGATCATGGGTTGGAGCCTCTTGCCGTCAGGCTAATCATGGGAGGGTTTCGTGGCTTTCCTCGCCATGTAACGCTGTTTAGTTCCATCAAAAAGTCCTCCACGATTGCAAATTTCTCTCAATACTTAATCCAGGAGCTCCCTGGTCTTCTGGACTGGGTTCAAAATTACAAAGATACGGAGTTGAACATTGGTAGTCTTAAATCCAAAAAATGGGCCGGCTGTTCAACGATGGTTATAAAATAAAATAATACTAATATGAAATTAAATAAATAAAGTTCAAAGGTGCACGAGCAACATGTCCATAATAGGAAAGAGTCCCTAGCAGCGTAAGATGACATTTCCGGTCATGGTTTCCTAAGTAATTCTTAATCCGTATGATGGGCCTTACTTCCCCAAGAAGTTTCTTGCTACATTTACGGGACAGGTTGTATAGTTATAATGTGTACAGCTTTTTAAATATAGCTTTCACTAGATAAAAAAGAAATGAAACATCGATTGTTAGAACATTTTTTCCTTTCATTTGCGCGTGTGTTAGATAATTAGCAGAGGGACAATTTTGTAAAACAAATAATTGAATATAAAAATAATAATTTGTACTGCCTAAATGTATTTAACTTTTTAGCTTGATAAAAAAAACAGTGCTAGTAAGTTTTTGCGTATTCCAAGTAAATTATATTTTTCATTCAACATTATAACTGAAAAAGAAACACTTATGCGGAATTTGAATTCTAAATAGGGAACACTGGGGAACAATTTTTTTTTCTGTACATGAGATTTTTAGATGAATCTCCTGTCGCTGAATTCAAATCTGCAATTGGTTTCTCTCTGCAAGCTATAGGTTTTATGCAATTCATTAATGTAATCCTAACCAGAATTTTTTTTAAAATTCACTCATGAAATGATTATATATTATTTTATAATATACCATACCAGAGGAATTTATTATAGACCCAAGTCAAAATTTTTCGTAGTTTTCCATTGATGGAGCAACATAATCATGAACCATTATATTTTTGACAGTAACCAACATAAGTAACCATCACCCCCAAGGAAGGAATTCGGACTGATTTATGATTTATTCAACGTAAGACTAGCAAGTTTTTTGATGGTTTGTTCATCTTGAACCATCAGGAATTTCCACCATAGTTTCTTGGAAATCAAATGTCCTACTTCAGTAATTTTATTACTTATCGTATAACCCTTCAACATTTGAGTTTTGTACGAAATACATTTTTCAGTATCAGCAAACTAAATCCGAAGTTTTAAAAGAAACAGAAACAAATAAAATTTTTATAAGACCTTGGTAAGGACTTGAGAGCATGCCCATTTCTGTATCTGACCTTTAATATACAGTTAAAAATATTTATAATTCGTAGAGGAAAAAGTCTGATTCTAAATAATTAAAATATTAATATACTATCTTTGCTACCACTGTAAAAAAACATTTTCTGAAAAATTAGGAAAACGCGTTATTCATTTTTAATTCAATTTAAAATTTGAGTAACTCTTAAAAATTTCTTGCTTGTAGCTAATGCAAAGATGTTCTCTTTAAATTTCTGAATTTTTTTTTAAGTAAATGCATAATTCAGAGCAAATAATTATGATTGATATGAAAGAAAATATTGCTAAAAGAAAAATAAATCTTTGGAAACAACTTGAAAGCTCTTGATTGAAAGATGAGAACATAATATTTGAATTTTTAGATCAGATAAAATAAGTAATAAGTAAAGTTCGGCAAAAATTAGAAGTTAATCTTTTTTATCTTGAGATAAAAATAAATAAATAGATAAAAAAAATTTGTTGAAACACAGTTTTAGGTTTAAAGAGTCCACCCTTATTATTTTTGATTTACAATTTTAAAGATGATTCAGCTTAAGATATTACCGATATGATCTTATTGATAGAAATTCTTAAGAGACTGCTATAATTTGATAAATACAGAATTACGCTGTAATAATTCTCAACTTGTTATGATTCCAGTAATTAAATTTAGCTGCTTCTTAAATGAATCAAACTTAAATATATTTTTAAGTGAATAATTGAAAAAATGCAGCTACAGTTTTCCATAACGTTTTTAAAATAGACATCTGCAATGAAAAAAATATATTATCATATTTGGCATAAAAAAGCTAGGCAGGTTAAAGGCTTTTTGATGTTCTCTTCAGTGCACTATTTCTAGACTATTGGTCTGCCAGTTCCTCTTGCTAATCATTTTAAAATCTGATTCAACAAAATCGAATTTTGGCCTTCTTTTTTTCTGGCTAGTAAAAGACTTAGCAACAAAAAACCTTCATCTGAAATTATATATTACGTAACAGTTTGCATTCACTTCGTATGTTGGATGGCTCGATTTCCATTCAGATGACTCAGGTTCGAATCCTTATGGTTGACTTGTATATATTGCCTATGACAAGCACATTACCTGGCCTGCCAATTACTACGCTTTTTGCAAAAATCTTCATAGAGTGCAAGACTTTATAAAAAAAAATAACTTTCAAAATTTTTGTCTATTTTGCCAACATTTTAAAAGCCTAACCATTAGAGATCTGTAACCAAGTGGCGTTACATATATTCTTTTAAATCATTTATATGTAGTGGGGTGAAAAATAAGTTAAAATGAATAAAAAAAATAATACATTAAAACGGGAGCATAGCTACCGCTAGAATAAATTTTTACAAAAAGCGTAGAAAGTAGGCAGCCCTGCATTACTCACTGCTAATGAAAAATATTGTCAGTGATAGATGAACATAAGTTTTAATCTCATTGCTGTAGCTGGTTTAAACCTCTCCATCAGACGCAACTGCAGATATGTTTCACTATCAAAGTTGAATGTGAGTTTATTGCGGTGCTTTGTCCAGAACTTTTTTTTATCCACTGGATTTGATTTATTAGGGTTCGAACGCTCAGGTACTTTTTATTTACGTCGAACTAGAGCTGCACAATAGGCTATTGGCGATGGTCTGGAATACATCCCTGAGGATGATCCGGTGACAACATACATACGCTACATCCCATTTTGTTAAAGAGGACATTTTCACACACCACCCATCCATCCGTTTACAGTAATTTTTATCTGAACCAGAGCACGATCAATCTTCGACCCAGTATCCCCAGAGGTATTGATTTGTTATGGGAACTTGGAGGATTTTATGAGCCTGACAGAGCTAGCGTACACCAGTCACCATTTTGTACACGAGGATTCTTCGGCTGCTAGAGATCGTACTCTTGATCTTTCGAACATTCCGGCCCCGCACACTTTTAAAGGGATATCCCTTGTGTTATGAAGAAGCTTAAACTATCGAACTATCTATCGAAGCTTTTCGAACTATCTTTCATTTTAGAATTAAAAATTCAAACACTAAGTAAGTACTTTATTTACGTAACACAAGATATGCACAATGGCGGCCGTCTGTAAAACGTTCCCCGAGGATGATTAGAAGACAGGCCATCCCGATTTTGATCCTCTGCAGAGGAGATAGCTCCCTCGCTTTGGTGGCCCGACGACCTGCGCTTGAAATCGAGGACTTAACTGTAGAACAGGTAGATTCTTATTTTGTACGAATGTTTTTAATGAATCGCCTAACTCGAATGGTAAAATTAAGTGGGTATTTAATAAAGTGAACGACTTTTTAAGTTTACAAAGAAATCGCAACTCCGTGGTTACAAATTAAAATTAGAAACCTTATAATACTGAAATATCACGATGCACCAGTTTTTTATCCAGATAAATACTCTTAAGGATGTAACTGTTCTACCTTAGTTTTTAAGTTTACTGTAAAAAGAACAGTTAAGTTTTCGTATCAAGTGGTTGTAATAGTTACGAGTACATACATCACACGGAATGCAATGAGTTTTGCTTCTCCAAGATAAAGTCAAGAATGAAATGACTGAATCGATGATTCCGAAAACCAGTCATCTCCACTTATTTTCAAAATGGAGATTCTTGCATTTTTAAATTCAACCGACATAGATGCATAGCTTAGGATATACAAAATTCATGCCCACTTTCTTGGTATTGTCTATTTCGTGCAATAAAAAAAGCTCTCTCTATATATGAAGGAGATTTTCTATTCAGTTTTTTGTCTCTCCTGTAAAACTAGTTTTGTTGGAGATTACCGGTTTTCGAACTCATTGATTTAATTGCATATGCTAATTGTACGAATTCAAAGTGAGAAAGTTTCTATGTCTTAAAATTTAAGGTCAAGGTAAAATCCCTTCTGACAACTATGTTTAAAAAAATATTTTTCCTTTTTAGTTTTAGAAAATATTTTCCTAGTGATAGAAGCTATATATTTTATTAAATCGGAATTTTAAAAAATTGATCTATCACTGCACATAAATAATTTTAGAAATTTGTAGTCTTAAAAACCATTCCTTGCCAAAGAAACGGAAATTCTGATCTGTGTATAGATGTGAAAAGTATCTTAATGAAAGAAGTAGTAAAATACAAAATACTTACCACTGGAAAAAAATATTTCGCAGAAACCTCAAATGTTGGAGATTAACACATTAACATCATAAAAACATACTTTTCTGTTTTCACAAAAAAATGCAGCCATTTTTGTAAATAAAGAACATTTTATTAATAAATATAAAAACGATCAAACATTAAAACAAAGTGTTTACATTTTAAAAAACAAACTATGAATAGTAAACATTTGAAGCTCGTTTATTTTATAGCTCATCGGCGAAAGTCTTTTTTTTTAATCGTGACATCTGAAAATAGGCATGATTTTTTTTCTTCTTTTTAATGGAAAGAAAAAAAGAGGACGGCATTTAACCCTGTTTTTCCTCCATGTTTATAGTTCTTTCGGTCCAAAATTTAGACGAGCACTTGTAAGAGCATTTTGTTAGACTAGTCTTACAAAATGCTCTTTTTCTCACAATTTAGATATTAGTTTGGAGACTAATGTCCTTTCGATATTCGTTTGTAATTTATTGACTCATTATGTTCTGCCAAATCGTGCCAAAGACATTTTAATGTTACAATAGCTGGTTTACTCGTAAATAATCAAATCTGAAAAGAAAAAATTCATGCTTTTTTGCGAAAAATCCAGCCAAATATTAGAAGAGTTACACACCCGGCATAATATGTCAGTTGAATTTCACAACAACAAGCTTGAAGTAATGAATTTGGATATTCACACAGTATTGCACCAATGGATCACCACAACATTTTTAAAATAGTAAAAAATTTGAAAATGTGGCTGGTGTGGAAAATGTTTTTAATATATTTTGCTCAAAAACCAATCGGTTTTTATCGATCCGTCATTGAAAAATTGCACAGTTGATTGGCTACAGGTCGTTGATAACGAGGGTGTTATCATTTATAAAAATTAAATGGTTGTTAAAACTTTATCTTTTATTATATGAAATGCTTATTCGGTATGATTTTAATAGATAAAAACGACATTACTTACTGGTTCCCCTAATATAAATACAACATAAGACATTTTTTCAGTCAAGATCTAATACTGGATTCTAAAACATTTGTGTGATACTAAACTGATAAATACTAAAGTTTAACGTATTAAACTTACACTTAAAAACCAAACAAAAGGGAATTCCAAAAAAAAATTTATCCTACAAAAATCTTTCTCTCACGCCAGGTAAAAATGAGAAACATCAAAATCTGCAAATGATTATAAGGTTGATAACAGTGAAGGTGGGATTAAAACTACAGAAATAAGTTTCTGTCAGGCACGAGGCAAAATTCACAAGTCTTCCTTTTTTTCGATTAATAAACTCGTTCATATTATTTTAATTCCACCTACACAGTGAATCGTTCTTGGCATAGTTTTTAACTTTTATTTTTTGAATATTAATTTGCGATGTGCAGATTAAAAAAACTTCATTTGTGACAAAAGATTTGAACTTTAAACACATAATAACCATTAATTTACATAAATACTTTTTTTTAATTCTCACATGCTAGAGCATAATTTAATAAATAAAACAATTTTATCTACGATTTTAAAAATGTTTTGCCGACAACTTGTTCACTTATTTCAAACAGCCGTTTCGCTTGCGACTTGTCCTTAGCATCCTTGCTGATTTTGGCTTCTTTACAATCAGAGAAATATTTCCCATTTGTTTTTTCCAACTTGGGATCAACAGCTAGGCGAATTGTTGTCTGTGCACCTTCTTCAGAATTCTGTAGAATAGGATATATTTCAAATAAATACATAACTAACTAAAAGTCAAACATAGAGAATATAGAGTATATATAAATATAAAATATATAAACAAAAATATAGAGAAAACATAGAAAAAATATATATTTTTAAAAGAAAGAAAATATTTTTAAAAGGTATTTACAATTTTTTAAAAAATAGATAAAATTAAAGCCGGAAAACAAAATGAGGAAAAGATATAATTTCGTCATCAGCTCACACGATTATATCTGCAAATAAGAGTGCTTTCTAATATAGCTAAAGAAATATATTTCACTACAATAGTGTGAGGAGCACCAAAACAATTTTGAAACGAATAAAGAACAAATTAAACAAAAAAAATGCAAAATAAAACAACAAGCAAAAAATAGAAAATAAAAATTCAAGAAAATACAGAATAAAACACAAAATGTAATGTATACAGCGAGTAACGAATTCATATGTCTTCCAAAATGATTAAAAATATTTTCGTAACATGTTTTCCAGATCACAAAATATGAAAATAGAAGCGTAAATAGAGGATAATGGGGTCGTTTTATGGTGCGTTCTAATGAAGTACAGGAGAGCGTTTGATTTGGTTGTTACCTTGGATTAGCCCGAAACATATTTGCGATTTAAAATTTTTTTGGTGCTCCTCACATTATTTAACTGATATATTTTGCTTTGGGTATATTATTACAATATTAGAAAGCACTCTTTTTGCCAATATAATCGTGCGAGCTGATGATGAGATTATATCTTTTATTTATTTTGTTTTCCGGCTTTTTTTAATTTCTTAAATTTTAGATTTCTGAAATATATTTTATTTAATAATTTTTTCCTTTCTCTTTTAAAAAAATCTTTATCTTTTCATATTTTCGCTGCATTAACTGATTTTAACAGCTCTATGTACTTGCAGCTTAAGAGCAGTAAATAAATTATAAATTATATTTCTTAATTTTATTCGGTAATCTCTCTTTTATACTTTGTCTTTTTTGTGTTTATATATATATATGATACAAATTCAAAGAAAACAAGGAAAGAGATCGTTCAATCGCTTCAATTTCTTTATTTGGTTCTCCTCACATTACTGGATTGATATATTTTGTTTTGGTTAAATTAGTACAGTGCAAAAAAATACTATTTTGTGTATATAATCAGTTACACTAATAAAAAAATTATATTTTTTCGTAGTTTTGTTCTCTGTCTTTTTTTTATAAATTTTTTAAAATTTTATTTTCTAAGAAATTTTAATTATTTTTAAAAGTAAATTTCCTTTTTTAAAAAATTTCCTTTTCTCCTTTTTTTTCCTTGTTTTCCTTGTATTTTTATCTCATAATTTGGATTCTAAGCATTTGCAACTTATGCACAATTAATAAAACGTAAATTCGTTTTTTTTTAATTCACTATAGTTATTCTTTAATTTATGATAAAAAATGTCTTTGCCTACAGAACTATTTATTTATAACATAAAAGATCCTCCTAAGATGTGAAACTTACAGGGGTTTAAACATCAAAGAAAAAGATTGGGAAAAAAAATTTACATAAATCTTAAAAATATTGAAAAGAAAAAGAAATAATCCACTACCCTTAACAAAACATTCGCAGTACTTATATCGATATCCTCCATTTCTTTATTAATATAATTGTTTCATAGCACAACTCAATTTTTAGTTCCTTAATTATTTTTAAAATATTTATCAAAAAATTTTTTTATTTAATTCATGAACGAACATTTCTAGAATTTTTTTATCATAATAGGTGTTCCAAAAATGACCGGCGATAGGAAAAATTAATTCAAGAAAAACGGAACAAGATAGAAATGCACGATTTGTTGCGTGCTGCTAATAAGGAAATTCATTCTCAACAAATTTCAAAATCAGTAACGAGATGCCAGCGGCGAAAAACTGTAAAACAAACATGTTTTCAAGGTCGCAGCATGGGAGCAAAATTAACAGACGTTCCTAAAAATAAATAAGACTGAATCGTTTGCATGCAGCTGAAACATCGTTTTAGTTTCTACAACACCATATGTAGACAAACTTCGAAACTAATATTGAAACTTGCTGAAAGGATTGCTTATGAACATACCTTTCCTACAATAAAAAAGAGAAACTTGCTGAGAAGAGATATAATATCAGTCTTCCCTCTGAAAATTGATGTCTTAACACATCCTGGATGCAAAGCGTTCACAGTTACTCCTGAAAAATAAAAACTTATCAACAAAAATAGTACTTCTACTGATAAACAAATACAATGAAATTAATAAAATTTTCAAATAGAAGACGTTAAAAATATTTTATTTATGTGCAAAGAAGTGATTGTAATGCAAAAGTGGGAAAACAGATGTCTTGAAGTTCATTCTTAATCACTATTTTTCTGAAAAGAATTGTCTACATATATTTCAAGATCTTAAAATGCTACAGCAAAACAATTAAAGTGCGTCAAAAATTCCTCATGTATTCTATTTTACTATGCAATAATTTTTAAAAAATGTATAAATTTGATGCAGTAGATAAAGAAAAATGTTCATTGTTAATAATGATTGTCTTTATAAATCTTCTATTTTTTAAAAATTCATATTGATACATTTTTTTTCTTATTAATGCTGCAAAACAATTAAAAGATAGTATAAGCTTTTAATACGAACAAGCTAATCTTTGGAATTTGCATTTGCTAAAATCTGCACTAAAAGTTTAGTAAATTTTACCTCTTTTTCTTAGTTAGCACTTAATTTGGCATAAAAATTCACGAAAGTTAACCATTTTTAAATGCAATTCTTCATTTATATTTCGAAGTTGATTTTTAAAATTAAATTCAAGATGATAATACTGAGCGTGGGAGCTCTTCCTAATATAAAGAGTAGCAAAAATAATGATAAATTACAATAAAAAAGAGAATTATACGATCATTATGGTATAAATAAATAATGCTCATATAGTGGTTTTGAAATCATGGTAAAAATAAATTTAAAAAAAATAATAACTCTGTGTGACCTAATTATTTCAAAAAAATTTAACAGAAAATCTAATCTTGACCTATTCAAACGTTAGCTATTAAGTAACAGTCAATTATTGATAATAATTCAGTTGTAATATAGCCAGTGGTTTAATAATTATTATATTCATGAGAGTATTTTATTCATTTTCATTGCTAACCACTTTAAACTGCCCAGAAATAAAAATGAATAAAATACACTCATGAATATAATAATTATTAAATCACTGGCTATATTACAATTTAAGACTTATCAAGACTTAAACGTTAAATAAAACAAAAATCTAATCTCAAGAAAAATGTGTTTAAAGTTTTAAATAATAATCATACATGGATGTCAAATTAGCATTCAAATATCATACCTGTTCCATCTAACCTTTCAGCTAACTCTCTTGTAAATAATATATTCACCAATTTTGAATTGCAATAAACTAAACCTGGTCTCAATTGTTGCCTATTCGTCAAATCATCCACATTTAATCTTGCAAAAAGATGAGCTTCTGAAGACACATTAATAATTCTACTTGGAGTACATTTTTTTAAAAGATCTATCCAAAATAGAACAAAAATAAAATATTTTCAATTAATTATAATAATTGCTCGAAGTGCCGTACATAAGGTGGTTTAATTAATATCATCTTACCTAAAAGCAACAATGTGAGCAGAAAATGCCCAAAATGATTAGTCTGCATGAGAACTTCGCACCCATCTTCTGACAGACGTCGTGGAATTCCTAAAACATAAGATGGTCATTTGTAGATAGAATCATGCATTGATATATCAAGTAATAAGAAAGTTCAAGCAAACAAACCTCACAACAAGCAGATTTTAACGTACTTATGGTTCTCTACTATCTTGATAGTCGGATGACTAACTTTGAATATGCTAATAACTTTGAATATGCTAATTAATCAATACACACGATATATTAAATTAGAAAATCAGTAAAAAAATGGCCTTTCTCTTAATATACATCACAGTTTCAATCTGCAAAATATCATCACCGTTGTTAACCCTTAAAATTAATTTCTTTTTTTCTATATCTCTGGAACTAATGCAGCGAGTAGAACACAGATAAAAACTAGTGTATCCAAAGAAAATTCCGCTTAAAAATTATTTTTTTTAATTATTTATAGTAATAATACTAATACTATAGTAAGTTGATTATTATAGTATTGTTCAGCAAATCAATTTCGAATTCATTTGTGTAAGTCAGGCAAATCTTTTCGTCTTCTTTACTAAAGTTCAATGAAAGTAATAATTTCAATATAAAGTAAAAAATTAAAATATTAAAGAGCATTAGTTACTTAAATAATAACTATTTTAATCTAGAGACCTGTGGAAATAAATTAATATTAGCTGCCTTAAAGACTGTTTCATTTATTTTACTAATAATTATGTTATACATAACAAAAGTTTGTCTGTATTTACGCGAAGTTTTGGTCTTTTAATTGTAGGGGTTATTCATCAAAACAGTTGAAAGAATTATTCTTCATTCTTTTGTAAAAAATGGAAAGCAATAATCTAAATCTTCTCTAAACTATAATCTCTTATTTAACTTACTAATTGTTGAAAATACTTTGAAGTTAAAAAATACAAAAAATTTTACATTAATTTTAATCTGTATAATTTAAAAAGAATTGAAGGAAATCGGTCATACAGTTCCTGAGAAATCGAATTTTAAAAGAGTTATAGTTTTAAATTTGATTTCTCAGGAACTATTCGACTGATTTCACTCAATGTTTTATTTTTCCATGCAAAATTGCCATGAAATGATGTAAAAAATTGTATACCTTATGTACAATATTCTTTCAACTATTATTAATTAAAATAATAATGAAAAATAATAAATATTTACTAAAAGTTATTTTTTGTTTGGAATTATGGTTGAATAAACGAATTTCATAATTATGTGCAAAAAAATCTTCAATTCGCTTAACAAGTTCGAGATATGGTGAAATACGCAAAAAGTAAAATTAACATTAAGGGGTCCAAACTTTAGACCACTCTCCTGACCAAACAATTGGAACCATATTTCCCAGATTGAGGGAAATATATTTAGTGGGGTCAGAAATCTGAATCCTTCGGAAAAAAAAGGTGAGCATATTCCGTATATGCGCTTATTCAGTATTATGTGTCTACTTTTTAAATCAAAATATTGTTTACACTAATAAATTAGCTTATTTGAGATCACCCTCTCGAACTATTAAGATTGAGTGCTGGAAAGTGAAGATCCAATAATTAGCCATTTAGGGTGGTCCGTTTTCTTTTTTTTCCGCATTACACTTTCTCTTAATATACATCACAGTAGTCTCAATCTGCAAAATATAGTCCACAGTAGCTTAGTATAATCATTAAAATTAATTATTGTACTTGTTTGTGTTTACGTAATTTTTTAATTTGATAATAGCCGAAAAACCTTTGAGTTGTTAGATACAAAAAAATATATACACCATTTTAATCTGCATAATTTTAAAAGGAAAAGTCGAAAATTTAAAGGGTATCGGTCGGATAGCTCTTGAGAAATGAAAGTTTAAAAAAATCGAGCTTATTGAAACAGCGAAATCCGCAGAAAATAAAATTAACAAACTTTCCACACTTTCGATCGCTGTCCTGACCAAACTATTGATATCGTATTTTTCAGATTGAGGCTAATGTCCCCACCAACTAATTTGAAGGTCAAGAAGTCAATTACCGAGTAGGTACGTTTTTATGCCTTATTTTGTAACTTCGTGAAGACCCGATCGTTAGATCAAAAGTTATTCAGGGTAGTCAATTTTTTTATTTTTTTATTGCGTTTTGGACATGCATAATAAAAATAAAGGTCCTTCAGAAAATAAAATAAAAATGTAACAGAAAAGAATAAAGGATTCTTGTTCACTACAAAATAACAGTTATGGAACCGTGATGGCTCATGGGATAAAGCGTTCGCATTCCAATGAGGTAACCGGGTTCGAATCCCAGCAATGGCTGGTGGATACGAATTCAGCATTCAGCTTGCATCGACCACAGTGCTGAAGTGAAATATCCTCAGTGGTAGAACATGGATTAAAATCCCTTGGCCGTCAGGCTAACCGTGGGAACTTCTGGTGGTTTACTCTCCATGTAACGCAAATGCGGGTTAGTTCCATCAAAAAGTTCTCCACGACGGCAAATTCTCCCAATACTTGATCCAGGAGTTCCCTTGTCTTCTGGACTGGGTTCAAAATTACAATGCTACGAAATTGAATATTAGTAGCCGTAAACCCTAAATTGGGTCGGCTATTCAACGACGATTATAAAATATAAAATGACAGTTATGAGTTTTTATTATACATTATGAGTTAGACATAATTTTTTTTAATGTCCATACCAAATTTAGTAATTAGTATTTTTTGTCCATTTTTATAATAATTATTCTTGGTTACTATTGTAGAGCCTTCCTTTTGGTGTCAGCTATTCTTAATTGTCTCAAATAAAGAATTAATTTTGAAATAGAAAATAAGGAAATGCGCTGAACCTTCAGATTGGCATAGATTTATCTGTTCGTATTCTTATGTCACTTATCATTAAAAGAACTTGTCACTGATTCCCACAGTTGGTCTCTCAGAAAGAAAAACATTTTGTTAACAAAAAAACGACAGCAATAAACATAGTGTAGTCTAAAAAACAGAAAGGGTACTTCAACTTTTTCAAATGATTTCTGCATTTTATGCAACTTATTATTTCACTACTAAGGATAATGTCATAGTTTTATATACATAAAAAAAAAAATCCGGAAAAATATGTTTCAACAATTATATTTTCTTTGTGTTTGTTTTATCTTACATTTTATAGTTCCCAACGGATTAGATATGATTAAATTGAAAGTATTATTAATAGATCATACACAATGAAACTCCGACTTGAAAACTTCAACAGTTATAGCCAGAGATTTTTTTACAAATGAATTAACTTTTGAACAGATCTCATTGAGTAGTGAAATAATATTCTAATACATTAAGGGGGAGGGAAACGCTAACCTGAGGTGTCCAAAATCGTTGGAATTGGAAGTAAATTTTATCGTTTAAACTTTTGAACAGGCCTCTGTGAATAGTAAAATCATAGTCTGATGTACGAAAGGGGGAAAAAAGAGAAACGATGAACTGGGGTGCATCGCGGTCGTGGGACCATGCTTACAGAATGAAAAGAACTCAACCTGAGGGGAATTAAACTAACAAAGCAATGACTAAAAAAAAATCCAATTAAAAATATCATACCTGATATTCCTGCATTATTAATTAATACATGTAGCTCCTTTTCATTCTTTAGAACTTCTTCAGCACACTTTCTAACCGATGCAAATGAACTCAGCTCGAGATGATAGAGGACCACGTTGTGGTTACCTGATGCTTTTTTTATTTCTTCTACAACTTTTCCAGCTTTTTCAAGATTTCTACAAGCCATTAACACGCGCGCATTTCGTTTCGCTAGATCAAGAGCAGTAGATTTACCTATACCTATATGTAGAAAATAAATCGTTTAAATAACTTACTAGTATTGGGATAATGCATAATAATTAACTCTTCTACCTTAGTTTCTTCCCATCTTAACAATTTTTAAATAGAGAAATTTTTAAAGTTTACTAAAGCTGAATTTAGCGTGTAATATTATTAGGAGGGATTATTAGGAGGCAAATCAGGGCAGAATAGATTTACAAGTAAGTGTGGAACTGATATCATTAAATAGGGAATTTACATTCATATGAAAGAAACAAGACTTAATAGCATGAAGATAAGTTGATGAGACAGGTATGAAAAGAATTTTGGCGTTATCAAGTTTAATTAGTGACCAAGACCATAGTCCCAACAATGTACGACAATAGATGATTTGTCGAATTATTGACGACTGGTTTGTCCAATGTGGCCAAAGGTGGATTGACATGGTGCAAAATAAATGCCCACATAGAATATCGATACTGGTGGAATGTATAAAAGATTAAAAATTATTTTTATTAAAATGCCAGGGAATGACTTTAAACAAAAAAAAATGGGGCAGGATATTAGCAATTTCGTAACGAATGAAGAAGAATAGTGGTGTATTAACTAGTCCACAATACGGATTAGAAGAAGAGGTGGGTTTAGGTCTAGTAAGTTCAGAAAAAAGCTGAATCAAGTATGAAAGAGTTAAATCCATGATTAGCAACAAGTGAGAGAAGGAAGTTAAGTTCAGAATTCTAAGAGGAAGTCACAGCAGGGGTTAAATGAGCGGAAGAAGAGAGTATGAAATTCGGTAATATTTTGGTAATTAGGGTGATCAGAATAAAATATTTTGGTAGAGGAAAGGTGAAGAAAAGACAAAATGTTTAAACAGAGGTGGAAAATGATCAGGTTGTTCAGTTACTAGAACATCTAAAAAATAGCATAGTAAAATTAGCTTCCGCATCTTCTAAAGCAAATTATTTATAAGCTAACTATTGTCAACCGAAATTAAAACAGAGAGAAACCCTTGAAGTTCAACATCATTGTCTACTAAGACAAACGTATCGTCAGCATATCTCTTTTACTTGATGTTTAAATGTTTTCTTATAAATTTTACAAACCTTAAAACAATGTTTTTTGCTCATGTCGGACCATTTAAATTCAATTTTCATGGGCGTCTGTTAGTTCTGATCTCTTAACATTATAACATGTTATTTACGCCGTGTTGTTGGTACTGGCAAATGGTGATTACATTGAAAACATAGTTTTGTGTTTTTCCAAGTTAAAAGTACAATCTGACATCTTTTGACGAACTGAGTAACTAACTTTGAATTTAATTTTGTGACTAATTTTGAAATTAAATTTCTGGTTTCCTAAGTTAAGCAGTAAATTGTTTTTATTCTTCAGTTTTTTTTCTCCAAAATTTCAGGGTTTTGGGGAAACTCGGTAACACATCTCCATTCCATTCACATAAAAGCTGCCAAAGTCATATTCGTCTCAAATAGTATCATCGCCGATTTCTAAGGAAGCATTGATTAAAGTATGCCTCACAAGAAAATAAATTAAGAAACTTATTTCCGGAAGAGAGCCATGCAAATGAATTAAATTGCTATGCACATGCGTATTTATTTCAATCAATCGTTTCAGAAGTTTCCCATGTAATTTTTGAGCCCCCTGTATACTCATATACCAGAACTAACGTAACAGACAGATTATTAAATGCATTATATAATTGTTAAATAAGATATTCTGTTATGTTCTATTTGTTTTGTCGGTAGCTAGCTACTGTTTGAAATTAGGATTAATGCTATGTTTAAAACGTGGCGTAGTTGCCAAAATTGTACCTCGTGTGAGATCCTTAACTGTACCGCACGATTTAGAAGAAAATTCAAGACTGATATATAGATTATTAAGATTATTATTATATAAGATTATTACGTTGTAGTGTTTAGTATGTTCAATATGTTCGAAAACTTTAGCTAAGAATAAAAAAAATAATCGCATCATTTGCGTACGATTTTTACATGATGTCGTGTTGTCCTTTTGAATGTTTGAGAAAATACAATTCTGCCAACCTGTTCGCGTGACGAAAAGGGTTTTTAATAGACATAAATCTGTACATTCAGGTAAGTAATCATAGTTGCAACACAGAATCTCTAAAATCTCTCAGCTCAGGTTTATATTATTCAGATGTTTACTCTAAACGTTGCGTTTTCTCTTAGGAATATTTACGCAAAAATTTTATTTGAGTAAAAAAAAAAGGAATTCATTAATGAGCAAAAAAAGTGTTACAGTAATGCAGTTATCTAAAATCTGATCTAGTAATACATCGTTATGCGAAAACTTTTGGTCATTACTGCACAAATATTGGTACGAAAAAAAATAATTTAAGTAATTGAATAACCATATTTCAAAACTAGAATATTTCAATAACTTCAAGTGTATTACGATTTATAAAATTTAAATGTAAAAAAATGGTAAAATTTATTCAATTTTCCCCCATTTATTAACCTTTTCGGAACGTATTTTATTAATTACTCAATAGGAATTGGCGGTTGAGAACTGCCATCCATAAAATATAGTGACCAAAACATAAAAGTTTCGTTCAAGTTTAAGAAAATTCTATCAACAAATTCATTTGAAATAAGATAAGTCTTCTTGATACTATAAAAATCTTATTTGCTTCATAGGAGTTCCCACCGGCCGTGGTAGCTCCGGGTATAGAGCGCTATAAATGAGTAGACAAGAGTTCGAAACACAGCGATGGCTGGTCGATACGAATCTCGCCCCGATCGTAGTGTTGACGTAAAAAGTCAACAGTGGTAGACTGATTGTGGATTGAAGTCCCTTTGCTGACAGGCTAACAGTGGGAGGTTTTTAAAAAATATTTTTTTAAATATTCACAAATTTTTAAAAAAAATAAAATTCAAATTCAAAAAAAAAAATTTAAATTAAATAAAATAAGGAAATTATATAATCTCGTCATCAGCCCACACTATAATGTCGGAAAAATAGTGCTTTCTAATATTGCATTAATATAGCCGAAACAAATCATATTAAAATAGTAAAACAAAACTTATTATTTTTCTCAATTTATTATCTAATTACGTTAATCTGTCTTTTTCTTTTGTGCAAAGAGTATGATTTTTCAAATTTGAGGGGATGTCCCCATCAGAGTTGGAGGGATGAGTACACCTGCTTCAAAAACTTAGGAAAGTGATAAAAGTCGATATGTTTCGAGAGCTCAAAAATATGGTAGACGTGGGTGAGAAAAACAAAAGCAATTTGAAACAGATCCTAGAAAAAACCGAGGTAATGCAATGTGGATCAGAAAACGTAAAGTATCCAACGAAAGATAAAAAGTAAATAAAAGAGAAGGGAAAAAAAAATTTTTTTTTTCATTTTTCGTTGGCTACTTTACGTTTTCTATTTTATTCTTGGCTACAGCGGTTTTTCCAGTTATGTTTTTCATATTTAATTATTTTCATTTTCGTTGGTAACTTTAAGTTCTGTCTCAAATCTCTTATGCTTTCCTAATTCATGCCAAGATAGCGCCTAATTTTGAGTGCTCGAAAATTTTACCGCTCTCACCACCGTTTTTGAAGCAAAAGAAGTTGTTTTATCATCAAGTATACTTCTTCCGTATCAGTTATTTTGGGATCATTCATTAATAAAAAATCTTTTTTCTTAGGTGTACGATTCACTAGTAACCTTAAATTCCGGGAATTTAAGGTTATCTTAATTCTGGGAATTAAGGAATTAAATTTTTCGGAATTTAACATTAAATTCCGAGTAATTCAATTCTTGAATGTAACTCTTTATTTGTATAAGCAAACCTACAGATAATTGTACTTAAAAAGAAAGAAAAAAACTCAAACAAATTATAAAATTCATTTCAACTTTGAACAAATAATAAACGATTTAAACCATTTTACATATTCTCTGCATTAAAAAATATTACCGTCTGAGGCTCCAGTAATGAGAACTGTTTTTCCATCCATGGACTGATCATCTTCGAATCGTCCCAAAGTCAGTCGGCAATAAAACCTCAGTAGTATTCCAAATAATATGACACTCGCAATTAACGAATATAGAGGATATTGGACAAGAATGTAAGAGAGATCTTTTGTTATCATGAGTAACAAGTCCATGACTGTTACTACATTATACTTCAAAATATCGTCTCAAACGTACAAGGTCTATTTTCACTTTCTTCAAAATTATCTGTAAATGAAATACATTTTATTTAAATCGTATCAAAAATTATCTGCATATTAAGCGCATTTATTTTTCTTAAATCGTATTATAAATTACATACACATTCTTCCATTTTTATTATTAATTGAGGTTGCATGTATTAAACCCTGTAACGAACCATTCTAACTAGTTTTGATATATTATGGAAAAACTATTTCTTTTGGGAGAATATGCCTTACAGATTATTCTACTGAGTTTTCAAACTCTAAGATTTCAAAAACATTATTAAGGACATATAAAAAGCATCTCAGAAATTTGGAATACGATCAACAAACTCAAAAGTTATTTATTCCTTTTGAAACTACTGTATACATTCAGTTTTGGATCAGACGGTTTTTATATATTAAAACCACGAAACACACGAATAACACGATAAGGTTAATGTAAGGTAAACACGAATTTTTAAATAAAAAAGGAACTTCTTTGCACTTTCCATGAAATGTAAAGCAAAAGAAATAATTTTAAAAAAAGCAACTTTGTTAATTTAATTTTTTATATGAATTGGAAATTTTTAAAATTAATTTCAGAACTTCGATTCGTAAGTAAATTTTCGAAAGTTAAGTAGGGTAAACTAACCAGTGAAGGAACACTTAAGCTTCCCTTGCCTTTTAAAAAATCAAATTAATTTCAATATTCATAATTTTAGTTAAATGACAGTGTCAACATATTTGTTACTAATTGCAAATTATGTAAAAAAAATTTATAGAACTTACATAATATTATTTTAAAGTTTTAGAGGTTCAAATAACAAGTAGTAAGAAGACCAAGTGAAGGAACAGCTCTTACCAGTGAATGAACACCCAGTAAAGGAACACTTAATTTTGGTTATTTTTTAATGCTCTTTATGAATTTATAAGCCATACAAATATTTAAAAACAAGCCTATTCTTGAAATTATAACATATAAATACTTGGAAANTATCATTTTAGTAGTTTAAAACATTATTGATTGGAAAATTTGTGATTATTCTCTTTTTTCCAGTGAAATGAACTTATTTTAAATTAATACAAATATAATTTAAAGCATAAAATATCTATCAACATGTGTAGTTAATTATTGTACAAATAATAATTTTTTATAATAAATAATAATATTATACAAATAATAATATTTATTTATTTGTAAAAAAACATTTATTTTAGGATTCTAAAATGAAAAGAGATCAAAAACTTTCAATCTTTTAAAAATTATTACCCTTATATTAATTATTAATATGTTAAAAATAATTTTTTCATGTAATGTATCAAAATTATTATTCCTTATGATTGATTTAAATTTGTTTCAAGTATTTTGTAATAATATTTAATCAGCAATTTAGATAATTTTGTTTTTGCCGGTTTTTACCAGTTTTTGCCGGTTTTTACCAGGTTTTTTGCCACTGTCCTGGCAAAAAACCCTTTTTCCGGCAAAAACTCCAACCCTGATTAGTTCCATCAAAAAGTACTCCACGAAGGGTGGTTTGTCCAGATGCTTAATCCCTTGTTTTCTGGGTTGGATTAAAATTACGAGTCTACGGATTTGAACATTGGTAGCCATAAACTCAGAATTGGGAAGGCTGTTCAACACCGGTTATAAAATAAAAATAAACATTAAGTTAAAAAAAAAAAAAATTTAAAAAAAAAAAAGCAATATTTGAAATGCTTTTTTAAAATCTATTGATTTTAGTCCTTTTCTTTAAAGCAGTTGATTTAAACGAATAAACCCTGTTTTAAATTTGGGAAGACCGTGACAAGTCTCATTATGTGCTGTCAGGTCATTACAATAAGATAGCCTTAATTATAGCTCGTTCACCAGGAGTTGGCACTTGGCTCCGCCTTCATTACATGGTATGCGACGATATTATTTCGCTATTTTTGGGAGAAAGTCGTGAACAATCCTGAGCAAGGTTATTTGGCGATCGTATGGCAAAAATATTTATTTCGCGAACTTCATCTGCATTTTTTTAACATTAAATATTTCATAAATTTGATAATATTTCGCGCAATTTTTTATGATATTTCTCTCTTTAAAGTGAATATTTTGTCCTTTTTAAGATATTTTGCCGGGAAAACAGCAGTTTTTAAGTTTAAAATATATTTAATTATCTAGAGAACGAAAGGTATTGTAGCAGATGATAAAGAGAAGTAAGTGACTGAAAAAGAAGTCACTGTTTGTGTTTGGCTCGCATTAAGGGTTGTCTCCATTTCAAGCGCGGAGATGTTTTTCTTACTCCCACGCTAAAATGAACTCTGCGTCGGAGGAGGTGGAGTCAAGTGCCAACTCCTGGTGAACGAACTATAGTAGGACACTAATTAGATAACGTAACATTATTTTTAATAGAATAAGCATATTAAATACTTTTATTTAATTTCTCTTTACACATAAAAGCGTTATTGCATAAAACAGTAATTCATTGTTGACGGTTCATTCATATAGGCAAGAAAATCACCTCATAATCCAGTTTTCCCACATGAATTTCCAGATTTCTTTGGTTATCATCGGCATTAAATTAATAAAAGTTATAAAGGTGATTTTTGCCTATAATATATTTCTGCATCCCTTATTTAAAGGTAGTTACCTGAAATATTCCTTTCTCTTATTCCATACTGATTGCGTTTTTAATTATTATTCTAAATTGAAAGTTAAAAACTAAAAGCAGTGTTACTTTAATATAAAGTAATTGCAGGATATTACCTTATAACGCATCACAATCAACAAACAACACCGTACCTTATCTAAGTATGCAACATTTTGATATATTAACATATTTAAATCGGAATCTAAATTTATTAACTGTTTTAAAATTTATTGTGTTATTTTAAAGTAAATTACAATATTATATTATTATAAATTAGAATAAAAGAGAGTTCTTAAACAGTTAAGAACATAAGAAGCTTCATGCACAATATGATGTAAGCTGTAATTAATATTTAAGTCACCAAATGCTAAGTCACCAAATTTGTTATGACAATAAACAGTTCATTTAAAATGTAATTTTAATAAATTGATTAAATAGAAGATTATTTTTACTAAATAGTTTTAATAGATTCATAAGGAAATTATTCGTCGGAGAGCTTTTTATTATTGCGTATTTAAGAAAATTAACACGACTTTGACACTTTTTAAACACGCATTTCGAGTTGTGTTCATTTTCTTAAATACGCATTTAGAGCTGTGTCAATTTTCTTAAATACGCATTTAGATCGCTATCCATTTTCCTAAATACGCATTTAGAACTGTGTCCATTTTTTAAAATACTCATTTCGAGCTGAATCCATTTTTCTAAATACGCATTTAAAGCTTTATAATTTTTTATATACGCATTTCGAGCTATGTCCATTTTCTTAAATACGCATTTCGAGCTATGTCCATTTTTTAAAATACTCATTTCGAGCTGTGTCCATTTTCTTAAATACGCGTTTTGAGCTGTGCGTCCTGAGTAAAAAGCTCTCCGAAGTGTTTTTACATGGAAAGTGAGAAGCACGAGCAAACAGATTTTTTTTAAAAAAACATGCATTTTAAGTTTATAATTTAAACTTATGAAGAAAATATTATTTTTTGTGAAGAAACCAAAGTTATTGTAAGCGGGATAGGATCGAGTGTTCAGCCGATATTATTTAACATATTTTCAAAGTTTAGTTATAGTATAATTTTTTAATTAGTAATATGTACTCTAGTCATATGAGATAAACATTGGAATTAATCGTAAAAGAAAAATTAACGCTTGGAAATCCAATAACGATCGTTGTAACCATGACAATTTCTAGATATAAACATGTACATTTTTTTTATATTGGTTGATTTTAGAAAACTATATTTCTCACAAAAAGAAATGAAATATTTTTATTTCATGCGAAAACCAGTTTAAAATTTCACAAACAAATGATCAAATGAATATTTCATTGTTTGTCAAATGCAACAAAAGAAAAAGAAAACAATATTACCTTGATTAGATTAAAACCTACACTGATAAAATGAATATTGTTGCGAAAAGTAAAACAAACACATAAAAAAAATAATTCTCCACTTTAAAATATAAACTCGGAATATTTTTTGCTTTGTTAGATTTAATGTATTCGCTTTAAAGTACATAAATGTGTATTTTTCAACATTTTTATGTTTTATAAAATTTAAAGCAAGATACCAGATAATCATTTAAAATATTACTCAAAATATAGTCCCTTGAAATATAACTAACTATAAATAATAATTGCTATTATTTTACTTAAAATATTGCAGTTCAGCAGAAATTATTGCTTTAAAATAACTTATGATGCAATAAATTTTTAAGAATATGACTTTAACAGGCTATAATATTAATAATTTTATCTTTTAAAATTTGTTTAAAAACTCTTTTTTTAAATACTGCTTTTCTTTTTTGTCTAAATATAAAAATTCTTAATTTTTAATGGATACGAAGCAAAAATAAAGGGTACTCCTCGGTTAGCCGGTTGCAAGTAGCTTCAACTATTTTTTTTTATTGATTATTTTTATTTATTTACTTTTTCAAATGGTTATAGCCTAAAAATAAATAATCGCTGAATTTATTTACAATTGGCTGGCTAATCGAAAAGTAGCTAATAATCATTTATGGTTTATTTATTTTGCAATGAAAATTAATTTCTTTGAGTATTTTATTTATTTATTAATTTTTTTAAATGGCTATAACCCAAAAATAAATAATCGCTGAATTTGTTTAAGATTGGCTAATCGAAAAGTAGCTAATAATGATTTATGGTTTATTTATTTTGCAATGAAAATTTATCTCTTAGTATTTATGCTTTACAATTAACAAAAAAAAGGTTGCATCTTTCCTTTTTACTCATTAAAAAAAAAACACTTTATTTAGTACATAAATAATCATAACTGATTTCAAATATAATCATAAATAAAATTTTAAAATTAATTTTGAATTTCCAAAAAAAACTTTGACACATTATATTTTTAAAAAAATGATTTTGCAACACTTTACGCCAATGAAAAGATGCACTAAAGGTTAAAATTAGCTTGTCAAAATAGAATGATTAATTTTTTACAAGTATACAATTACTAGGTATTAAGTTTATTGAATAGAAGCCATAGAATTTTGTACAGTTGAAAAGCCGGTAAATTTGTTTGAATCTGACTGCATGTAGTATTAAAAATGTCACTCACCTCAATTATTTTAGAAGTAACCTTGAACTTTCTAAGTAAATAAAAGTAACGTCCTCAGAGTAAGAGTAGCTTTCAATTTAGCTCTTATCAACGCCAACGTTAACTCTGAGACCTTCAAGCGATAAGTAAACCGACATTTTTTGTTTCAGAAGCCAACAGCTTTGATCGATTGCACTGCCATCTATGTGCGAAGCTGTTGTAGTTTCCATGGCAACGAGTATTTTTCTTGTTTATCTCTCTAATGAATTAAATATGAAAATGCAGAAAATGGCAGAAGAAGAAACCACCTTCAATTTTAATCTCGATATCAAGGCTCAAGGGCAAATCTCTAATTTCGCTGTCTCATGCTTATAGTAAAATGATCTTTGTTAACACATGTACCCAACTAATCGTTCTCTTGCCTTAAACTTGATTTTTTTAGTGAGTGAAAATGAAATCTTAAGGGGTTTTAACCACTTGTATACAGAACAAAGTTTCCACCTACCTACCTCTACCCGATCTCCATCTCTTCCGTTAAAAACGCATCTCATGTGCATTTCATTTTTCTTATTAAAAATATTTCAATATANATATATATATATAAAAAATTTTTTTCATTTTGAAAATGCCTTGTATTAACAGTTTTTGTAATCGCTTAAAATTTTATTTATAATTTTTTTTTTTTAAATGTAATCACTGTTAAAATTAATCAAACTGACAGCTGAACAGTATCAAAATTTCCTAATTTTACTTTATGCTTTTTAAATGCTACGTGGCTCGGATATTTCTTTATAGGCGTGCGTGTACTTTTGATAAAAATCATGTATTTTGTTATAAGAGCAAAATTATTTATTCTCATAATTAATTTTATTTATTATTTCTTTTTATTTCTTTACATGTTTATTTATTCTTCTTTTTATTTGTTTTTTTTTTTTTTTTTTTTTTTTTTTTTTTTGAAAAATTAAAAGCTTAAATAAAGCCCATTTTAAAGACTAAAAATGTCTAGTTTTGTTTTTACGTAATTGAAAAAGCCTCAAAAGTTAATTTTTCTTGCATTTAACAAATTACACGGTCATAATTATTAGAATTTTGTTTCACGTTGTTATAATTATAAATATACAAACATAATTATAAATATGTTTGTATTTTTTATAGTGGTCGGTAAATTTTTTTAAAATGATATTTATTCAAATTTAAAGAAAAAAAAACATAAAACTTTACATTTTGTATTTATTTGGTAAAAAAAATCTTTTTCAAAAAGCATAAAAGTTGACTGTTCTGGCTAATATATGGACAGCGAAAGCAACCTTTTCCCCCCAGTACTATAGATACCGTTAAAAGGCTTTTCCAAAACTTCAAGGAATTCAAAGAGCTTTCCAAAGATAAGGAGATTATCTCTTTACTTAAAATCACCATTTTCTAAAAGCAGTGATTAACATACCAGTTCTTTTGCCAAGCAATAAAAGCTTTCAGAAATTGATAACGGTAACACGTTGGATGCTGGATCACGCGATTTTGCATGACAAAATTCTTCTCTCGGATTTGTGTCAATAAAACAGATCAAATGGTAGAAAGATGCACATTACCATTCAACTACTTTTTGCATAAAATATAATGTTTTCTCATAATAGAAACATGTTGTTCATTAAAAAATAGAAACTAAAATGGTTTCTAAAATAAGAAAATTTATCATTGATTTTATCTTTCTAGATTACCTTTCTTCAATGATAGATATTGTAGCATATAATCGATTGACAATGGTGAGGTTCTAAAAAACTAAGAAGATAATACCAATCATGCTGACATTATCGATCAGGGAAAATTGTTATGGAATGGTCATAAAATTGAACTTCAAATTCAAGAAGATTCCCTTTCTTGGGAAGATCAAGACATGTGCAACTCAACTTTCTGCTGATGAACTGTTGAACATATTTTCATAATCTTTCTATTATTTTCAATCACAATTATTCCTGAGTGCTGTAATTAAAATAATTAATCAGAGACTTAAGTATAGAACGTCAGGTACTTCATAAATTAGATATAAGGGGCAGTATATTAATGGTATATCGCTTGGAGGGGGAGAGGGGTCCTGAAATTGAGTCAGTTCATGAAAAAGGGGATTGAGTGGGTAACAAGGAGTGTAACACCACCCATTAAAAAGAAAAATCTAAATGTTTCTGTATTTTTTTCCAACGTTCGTTAAGTTTAAAAGGGTAAAAAACTTTATCCAAATAATTTTATTTTTTATTTTTATTGATTTATTTTTGTATCAAAAAACAAACGATACTAATTAAGGCTTAGATTAAGCCCTAATTTAAAAAATCTACTTCATTATATACATTTTTTACTTATCATACCTACAAATAATTTATATTCGAAACATAAATTTATAAATGTTAAGATAAATTAATGTAATAAATAAAATGAGCTGGCAATTTGATTAATATAATTAATATTGAGACTTCTTTTTAAAAAAAAAATTAAATATTTCTAAAAGCACTCATACTGTAGCAATAAGATTTAAAGCAAAACGTGTCAAAATTCCAAAATGCCCTCGTTTCCTTATGAATATTTTATTGGTACTGTATATAAATTATGTTTCTTGTTGTAAACCTTATTCCTAGTTCGATCAAAATAACAACACATGTAATCAATATTATTGTTAGACTCACAAATATCTTAAGCACATAGTTAAAGTTTAATAACAAAACATTAAGGATGATCTAAAACGTTGTGTTCTATTTGAACTAAAGCCCTGGATTACCTAGTTTAGAGTTAGTTGCTAAGTATCCAGGGCTTTTATTTGAACTACAAGATTATCACACAATGTAATGTTATTATGCAATGCTATTATTATGCCATGTTATGCAATGTATATGAAGGGGGTCCAAAATATTGAAAAATATTCTGACACCATTTATGGGGAGCCCCTAATTGTTATTTCAAGTACGTGGAAATCTTTAGAAATTTTAATATTGGAGAGGTTTGAAAATTGAAATGTCCCTTAAGAAATAACAATTGTATGAAAATTATCCTCAAAAATGACAACTGAATGGAATATCTAATCATAAGTACCAAAAACTATTTTTTTTTGGGGGGGGAGGAATTCAACTTTTTAGGGTTCGTCTAACGAAAATGGTCTTTTACCCATGATCCTTCTACTCTTGGAGATTTTTACAGCAACACTGTAGGAAGTACAATCTGGGAACAATGTATACATCGAAGAGAAGTTATTTCTATAAAAGACAAGCACGATGCTCCTTATTTTCCCTTTTAATTTTTAATCTTAATTTCCCAACATAAAAACTTAAATTTCTTTACATCTAAAATTTCTGATATTTAGCAACTTTATAATAACTAAGATAAAATTTATTTATGTCAGAAATTTTTGATACTTGCCAACTTTGTAATAACTCTGATTAAATTCATTTACATCTGAATTTTTTAATAGTTGGCATCTTTATAATGACTTAGATTTAATTTCTTTACGTGGAAAATTTTTGATAGTTGCCAATTTTATTCATCAAAATTCTTTATTTCTCGGGTTCTTGATTATTGTGCATGTTGTTTATTGATCATGTTCTTGCTTATTGTTCATGCTGCCTATATTACTTATGGATTGATTTTCGAATAACTACATCAGCAAAAAAATATTAGAATGTCCTTTTAAAAAAATATATGACATCAAATAACAACTCGTAGGCACGAGAACTGGTTTTTCAGAACTTTAAGAAGTATAAAAATCGTTTTAACTTTAGAATTTAAGAAGTATCGTTTTCATATAAAAAGACATTTTCTTGTATCTGTGTATCACACATTTTCTTACAGCTGTTTGTAAGTAGATGCAAATACCTCGATTTCACATCATTTTATTTTACTCTCATTCTTCAAAATAACACAAAAACATTTGGGACTTAAAATACATTACAATAAAATAGTATTTCTGAAAATTCGTGATAATAACTAGTTTCAAAATATAACTAATGTCAAATCAATAATTTAGTTGATAAGTTAATTATTTCCCTTTCACACCCACATTTATGCAAACCCGGAAGTCCTAGCACCCCGCTATGATTAAATTGGTTGTGAAATAACAATTAATATAATCCTAATTTAATTTTTCCAGCACTTGAGAACTTCTCTATCCTGTTCGCAGCTCTGATATGATAATATATTGTAGACCTCCATTATATAATCTTAAACTGATAAGATATATTAAAGGTCAAAATCATTGTAAATCAAATTTATTAAATTAGAACTAAAATTATACAATTTACTATCACAATAAATATTAAAAAATAGTATCCCATTTAAATGGAAAAATTCGACGCAGCTGTTCATTCAGAAGAAAAAAACTTCGTCGACAGCTTCCTTTCTTCTTTAAATAATTCGACGCTGTTTTATTAATAAATATTGTTCCTTTCTCTTCATTTTTTTTTTTTTTTNTGTTCCTTTCTCTTATTTTTTTTTTTTTTTTGTTAATCAAATATCCTGGAGATAAGATCTCCATTTTGATGGTGACAAAAATGAAGTGGAGAAATACAATATAATGTCTGATTTTATAGACGTTATATCGTCAAGTTCAGAGATGCCAACTGCTCCGGACACGCCAAAATAATTAAAAAAACGGTAAATACATTCAAAGTAAATTTTGCAAATATTTTACTATTTTTCTTGCTTTTTAAAAGGTAGCTTGACATAACTATTATAAAGTAGTGAATTATATAAGGCTACGAATTATTTAGAAATAGTGGTGGATAAAAATCTACTAAATTGAATTTATTAAACCAAGAATCACAATTGATAAACTACCACTTTAAAATATTTATTTGCTGTCCGGAGCAAGTTGGCATCTCTGCAAGTTATCTGGTAAGCACAACATTCAATTTTTTATAAAGTAAATATCCTCTCAACTGTATTTTTCATAAACCAATTATCCTCTTAACAGTATTTTTCATAACAAAATTGTGCTTTTCCATGAAGTAATTATCCTCTAATCTGAATTTTTCATAACTCAATTGTATTTTTCTAGTAATTATCCTCCCAACTGTATTTTTTTTCATAACTCAATTATATTTTTCATAAAATAATTATCCCCTTAACTGTATTTTTCATAATTTAATTATGTTTTTCTTAAAGTAATTATCGCATGGTATAATCCAGTTTCCTCACTCGTGGACCCAAAATTCTTTGGTAATCATCAATATATTAATGATAATTGTGAAAGTATTATTTGCTTACGAAATACTCCTTTAGCTCTAATTTAAAGGTACCTGTAATATTTATTTATCATCCCTTATTATTAGTATTTTCATTAGCAGCTCCTCCAAGAGAAAATATTATATGAGATTCTCATCAGCGATAGACATCCTTTATAATAATATTACCTTATTACGCAACCTTTATGATAAACATACTTAAATTCGTATCTGAACGTATTACAATTATTGAACAGCAATTAAGTTATATATACTTTTATTTTAACCTTCTAATGGGCCATTTATTTCTAGGTTACATTTAGATACTTTTTGAATTTCGATGAAAATATTCATTTATATTAAGTTGATAAAATTTAATTTGAATTTAATAAAAAATTTTATGGTAAGTATGTTTACTGCCACCCAACAGGTGTTGTAAAAAAGTAGGAAACTTAATGACTTTCATTTCTTTTCATTCATAAAATAAATTTTATAATTACTCCAAACTGAAAAAGGGAATCATATATTATAACATATTTCAAATTCCCTAAAAACAGGCATATTGTAACTAATTTTATTCAATATTAATTCACCACAGCTGAAGTTAATAACAAATGGCATACCAAAGTTATAGTGGTGGTAAATATACTTACCACGGCTTTAGAAAGGGTTAAGTTTTGTGACTATACTACTAATAAAAATTTACTACTATAACATGGCGAATAATAATAATGTATCACTATTTTTCTCAAAAAAACGTTGGGCTTATAACTTTTGCTTATATCCGATACCAAAAATGACAAACCTAAGGCAAACACAAACGTTCCACGCGAGAATTTACCTTAAATTACTTTATTCACTAACATTGACTAAAACAGATTCAGGAAAAAATACTATTTTGTCTGTCAATCTGAAATTTTCTAGGAAGTAAAGCTGATTATGTCCCTTCTCATTGCGGAAGTCGGTGTTTTAGAAAAGTTCTATAAAAATTATCTTCTAACATTAATTACTTCAATTTCATTTTGTTGCTAGCCACAGAAAAGGCCTGATTTAGAACGTTTCACCCTAGCGTAATATTAAACTAAAATATTTCAAAAACACTGTTTGATTTCCATTCGAGACGAGTTAATAACTAAACGGCAAATATGGTTACACATAGTAATTCTATAGTTGAAAATCAAAATAAATGGTTTACAAGTTACTTTTTAAGAAGAAAATTAACAAGCGGCATACTCAGCAAAAAATTATAAATCATGATTTGAACTGACACATCAATCGAGAGATTCGTCACCGCGACCCAATACCAATGATTTTAATATGGAAACTCTGCAGGTTTTAAGTTAATTTCAATGTTGTTTGCAAGGATGCAGCGGAGAACTACGTTTCGTTTTTTCTTTGTTTGATCTATTTAGTTATTTATTCGTAACTACCAGCATGGCTTATAAAGCGAATTATTCATATTTAAAATAATAAACTGAAAGGCTGTCAATAGTAAACTTTAAAAAAATAGGGAAGTAAAATAACTAATTTTAATTGATATCTGGTTTTTATATTTTATTGCTCATTATTTTAAAAACAAATTTAGTAGCCCGTGGCATCCCTGTGTTTGGATCCAAGCCAAAGACATACCTCCAATAAGTTAGCTAATGTTAAGCTATTCAGATTTTTTCGATAATCGTTCATCCGTCACAAAAGAAATGAAGAAATCTGCACGCAATACAGTGATTTTATTGACGGCGATTACATCTATCTGGTTCAGTCGCACCAGCCTGTAAGTTTTGCTAATTGTGAAGTAATTTAATTATTTTATTAGGTATGTGTATTGCAGAACTACCAGTGGTCCGTAAAAACAGTTTAAGTGCCAACACTTTTATCATGAAACGTTTTCTTTCAAAGGACGCTGTTACCCGTAAAACAGAAAAAATTAGTAGTAAAATCATTTCATTTCTAAATTGCTTTTAAAAAAGTAAATATTCATGACTACCACTATCTTTTTAACAATTATAGTATGTATATTTAATTTGAACTTGTTTTAATGAAACGCGTGATTCAATTGTAAACGTGTCAACTCATCCGGATATTCCGACAGATTTGAATTATTCCAATTACTCGATAGTCACATTTGTGAATCCGAACTTGATTCTTGTTATAATAAAATTGAATTAAAATTATACTAACAACCGTTGCATTAAAATAGTATAAACACACAGATTGAAGATTTACAACCCATCGTTTGATGTTTCGAAGAGCTGGCACATAAAAATCCAGCTTATATTGTAAATTCAAATTTTATTTTACTACCACTAGATAAAAGCTTCTTTGAAGATCTTAAAAGTTGAGAGGTAAGAAGTTGTTTTTGGGTAATATTCTGCTGTGTTTTGGTGTAACTAAATTTATTTGTAAAAGTTCCGGAATATCACAATAAAAATTTAACTCAAATGACCTATAAAATCTTGATTGTGTATGAAAAATAAATTTAAGTGATTGTCAAATCAGATAAATTTTCATTTGCTTTGATGAGTAAATTACATCCTCTTTTATATTTTGTATATTTAAAGTAATAATGAAAACGTAGCTCATTTATTTCATTCTTGGATTTATAAATTTAATTAGGAATGATTTTATAGCGTATAAATTAATTGAATAATATCTCCAATTCATAAAAATTTTGTGTTGGAGATATTAAGTTCTGGCAAAAACATGCAATATATATTTCTCTATGATTAATTTTTCAATTTACATTTTATAACCACTTCGCAAAATCATATTTGGAAAGTTGGCAATCGTATATTTTTGCCTTTTGAACACATTATGATTGGTGCCTTCTCGGAGTTCGACCACACTTGAAAATTTGAAAAATATGTTGTAACATTAACCAGTTTTGTCCCGAATTTATATATTGAAATGATGCAAAAAGTGGTTTTATGGAAAAAGTGGTATAATATATTATCGAAATTAATTGGTTTTTCTACTGTTATGGCATTCAATAAGTCTTTTTGATCAAAAAGTACTTGCCCCTTATAATTCTAAATCTAATCAGAAATATTTAAAGCATAATGGTATCTGAGAATCTTTTAATTCACCCAGATAAATGAAAATGCTGAAAAAAGTTTCCCTTCACAATGAATGTCTTTAAAAAAAGGAACTGTCCTAAATGTATGACGCTGGGCGTTAACCGGTTAAGAGGAAAATTTTGGTTTTATGTATTTGCTTTCAGACTATTCTTTGACATTGGATTTAAATATTTCATTCTATGGTGAAAGCTGTTACTACAGGGTTACTGCTGGCCTTGACAATTTTGAAAAGCGGTAACAAAAATAAAACATATATGTCGACATTTTAATTTCTGAGTAACCATCACTAAAAATTGTTTTCTTAAGAATTTATACATGCACGGAAATTCTTGCTTCTTAATCATTTAACGATAAGGATAAGGTAATATATTAAAACAAAAGATACTTTCTAGCGTAAACCTAATATACTACCACTACTAAAACTTTGTTAAGGACCGCGGGAACCCTGTACTAAGAAGTTTTCAGCTTGTTTTCTTTAACCCCTTAACTTGTGCGCTCGAGTTAATTCGGGCGCAATAAACAGGCCAAACTGTGCACACTCGAGATAATTCGAGCGATGTTGTATTTTATGCTGCTATAATTTTTCACACTCGAATATAATCGAAAATTGAAAATTACAATGTAAAAGCTAAGGAAAAAAAATCGTTTTATTGATATTTATCATTTGCATAGGATTGTACGCTATAACACTTATTTATTCAAGAATAAAATGCAGAGATGCCAACTAGCTCCGGACAGCAAATATATATTTTAAAGTGGTAGTTTATCAAGCGTGATTCTTGGTTTAATAAATTCAATTTAGTAGATTTTTATCCACCTCTATTTCTAAATAATTCGTAGACTTATGCAATTCACCACTTTATAGAACTTACCATTAGAACTTAGTAATTTAGTATAGAACTTAGTAATTTACCGTTTTTTAAAATTATTTTGGCATGTCCGAAGCAGTTGGCATCTCTGAATATAGCCTTTTTCCATAGAACAAAAGCACAGTAAATCAAAATTGTCCATCAAAGGAAAAGACAATGTTCTAAAGTGTGTTTTTTTACATAAAAAAAGTTTTTTTTACCGATTTTTTTTCAAACAATCTGTGCGTTAAGGGGTTAAAATTGAATACCTTAAGAAAACTCAAGGTATCTACGATGAAGCAAAAACCTGTACCACCAGCAATTTTAACTCACTCCTAGATATAGAACTAATTGACGACAACACTAAATTTAGCCCCATCACTGCCTTTTTCCTTAGGGATATGTTGCCCTAGCACACGAAATACACTCAGCCCCAGCCGACTCACACGAACCCCCTCTCGATTTTTTGGTGCTCAACACCCCCTCTTCTTCCCATCTCCATTCCTCCTCACTACTCCTCATCATCGATTTATTACTACAGATGAATCGGTTAATGCCGGCTCGCGGCAGCGCACCGAAATTTATGTGATTTCTACCATTCTACCAAACTCAAGGTATTCTAAGAACAAATGTAAATGAAGTTTCCTCTGTTATTGAAGTTGGCTAGACACTTACTCATCGCTGCAGCTATGGAACGTTAGACATTTTCCTACAATATTTTCAAAGTGAATTTAAAAATTTTAAAATTCATAACCAGGCATTACAGATGTGATCTTCAATTATTCATTCATCATATATTCAATGTAGATTAAACCGCCTAAAACATTAGCATCCATAAAAAATAAATAAAACATGGAATATGTATTGGACTTAACTCAAAGCTTTCTTCATGCTGCCATTCAACATCCCTTTTACTCATTTTTGGGTATTTTCATTCTTTTCTGTTTTCTGTTGCGACTGTATAGCAAGGTTACCATGGGTATCTGCACTTGTGATCAAGACATGAGGGGAAAAACAGTTCTCATCACCGGGGCATCAGCAGGTATGAAGGTTTTTTAATTTATTCAATATGGTATAAATGAGAAAAAGTTATAAAACTAAATTCCAACTGCATCTTATCGCGAGTTGGAAAAATTAAACGAGTGGTAGCTCTCAAAACTAACGAAAAAAAGTTTCAATTTAGCTAATTATTTGAGAATTAGGAAATAAGAACTGGAAGTGGAACGAAAATTACAGAGCACCTGGCACTTTTCTTAAGGACATTAATTATCTTAAGGTAGAAGTTATTCTTGACAATTTGAATTTAAGTAATAAATTGAGTGATTAATTACATAAGCTAAACTTAACAAGGCAAAAAATTCAGTTCCAAGATCCGAGCAGTCTGCAGTCAGGCCTGGTCTGGTGAAGGACCGGGTATTAGGTGCGGCCTAAAGACCATAATCTTAAGTTTAAGCCTAGGTTAAGTTTAAGGAGTAAGCAAAAAAAATAAATGTAATACCCGGAATAAATTTTGATCCTAAATATAGGATTTTCACGTACTAGGACTCAATCTTAGTGATTCGAAAAGGTGACCTCAAATACGCTAATTAGTTATTAGTACAGACAATATTTTAAGTTGGAAAATCAGACTCAAAAGCGTACTTTCCCTGAATAAACTTGCCTTTTTATCGACGTATTTGGATTTTTGATCCTTAAAATACCCGCAATAATTGTACCCGCAGTATGATAAACATGGTCCCGATAGCTTGGTCAAAACAGAGGTCGAAAATTTGAACCATTTAATGAAAAGTTTATTTTATGCATATTTCGACATATCTTAAAAATTTTCGATGCGAATTGAAATATTTTTGTACACAATTATAAAATTCGTTTATCCAAAGACAATATCATGCAAAAAGTAATTTTTAAAAATTATTTACAATTTTATTTCATAATAAACGAAAAAAATGTTGAACTGTAAGGTATAAAAATTATTACATCATTTTAAAGAATGTAATACAGTGTGGCTAAATTTGAACGAAAACGGTCGAATAGTTCCTGAGAAATCAAATTTTAAATATATGACTGTTGTAAAATTCAATTTCTCAGGACCGATTGCATTCAAATGTTGTATTTTGCTTTATAAAATTGCACTGATTAAGTTGATACATAAATTTCTGTACCTTAGAATTCTAAAATTGTTCAAGTATTGTTAAATAAAATAATAAAAAATAATTATTAAAAATTATTTTTAAAATTATATTAAAAATTAATTAAATTATATTAAAAATTAATTTTATAATAGTGTGAAAAATTTCTCAATTCGATTAAAAGGTTCTCGAGATACGGAAAATACGCAAAAAAAAATAAAATTAGCTTATAGGGGTCCGCACTTTTGACAGCTCTCCTGAGCATACTATGAGGGCCATATTTTTCTGATTGAGGCTAACCTTTACACTTTGAGGATCAGGAATTCAAATGCGTCAACAGAAAAAGCATGTTTATTCTAAGAAAGTATTTGAGGTCATCCCTTCGAACCATTAAGATGGAATCGTAGTACGTGAAAAACCGATTATGATCAAAAGTTATTCAATGTGTTTGATTTAATATTTATTTATTTTTTACGAACCGAACGTCATAACTGATAAGTTGATGTATGTAGTCTTCCATCGTTTAGTCTTTTTTAATAAAAAGTTAATAATGAAACGTTTATGAAAACAGTTTTTGTCATCTTTTGATAAATAATTTGATTATTATTATTAAACCCTTAGTTCTTTAAGACAGGGAAAACCCAGTGTGGATTTACCCATTTCAAGCAATATAAGTCAAAATATCAATTCCAAATATGGAGTATCAGCCTTAGGAAATAAAAAAAAATAGCTTTTAGAGCTAAACCCAAACCAATTGTTTGAAACTAGCTGAAAACTAACCATGCTTAGTGATCGATTATGATTATTTTCCAAAGTATTAAAGAAATATGCACTTTAAAAAACCCAGGCATGGGCATTCAGGATCTCGAAGTGGTCCTCGTGGCCCTGGTGGACCTCATGATCATCTGGATACCGGAACGCGTTGGCATACCCCCCCCCCNCCAACGAAACCGCGTATAGAAACTAAACAAGCCACCAATGCACCTCGAGCCGTTCCATTTATCTATTCCGAAGACTTGTCATATTGATCATGTTTAGACTCAAACCACGAACTCAATAACCTCTAGAACAACTTGAAATACTACAAACACTTTCCCTTTGGTCACCCAGTTAATAAAATTTCTCTCAATCAACTCCCAAATTGAAAATATGAAATTTTAATCTCGCGTCTCCGAAGTGACACAATTCAATTAAATACAATTTGGAACAACATTGGACTGGTGGAGTCCCCTTTGTGTGATCATTATCAGTCCCCAAAATCTGTAAACCACCTCCTCTCAGAGGGCAAAAGCTTCCTCTCACCATCTTCTCAGCTATGACCAACGCGAAAATCTTTTTTTAAAAAAACTTTGTGTTCTTTTTGGGTTTAATTAGACGGTTCTAGTCCTCAACAAACTAATCTCACATGTTCGTAAATGCAACAAATTTTTAATTTCATTGGTGTAAGCCTCCCTGATCGATCGAGGAAAAGAGTGTTTCCGTTAAGAGTTTTCCTCTGAAGAATGTGTGTCTCTCCAAAAGTGTTAAAACCATCAAATTATGATTTTGAATTGATTTTGCATCGAATTAGTTCATCACGATCATTTTGTATCTTCACTTCTTCATTATCATCCTATTCAACTTCTATAAAAGTGTATTGGAAATACAAAATTCTACACTTTGATTTCTCGGAAAACTGCAAATTTTGCATTGAATTAATTTAAAGCTTCTTCTCCACAATCATCTTGTACCCTCGTTTCTCTATCAGCATCAACTCAACTCATCACCCTCAACTGAACTCTCCCTTACAGCACAGAGGATAAAAGCGAAGAGCAATGATCCTCTTCTTCATCCAACCCAAGAACCCTTCTATTACCCACTTCTAAAAGCTTCTAGCATGATCTTTCGAATTGCGCCAAAAAATTTGCCTTGTAAAATAATCCAAAATAATTGCTGTTGAAAAAAAATTCGTTTCATCGAGTTAGTATGGAAGTGTTTCCATATATTCCCCTGTATTTCTCACAGTTTTCATGTATTTGTTGGCTTAAGAATTGTAAACAGGAATTATTTCACTTCCTCCAGCACTTAATATTTATAAGAAATACTGTTAGAACTTATGTATAATTAAAATTGCTTAATAGAATGATCGAAATCATTATTCATCAATTGTTAAATGAAATACATATTGAAATAATGTGTAAAAAAGTAGTAGACGTAAACATTAAAATCAAGTTTTTTTTCTTCTTTTGTATCTTAGCTATCGCTTTAATTTTTAAATGAATCATTATTAGAAATCGCTGTTGGATCAATGTCATTATTCTATCTCTGTTTATAGATATATATGCTTTGTCATATCAAGATAACAATAAATGATTGTACTACAATTATTTTTCCTTTTAAAAGAAAAAAAGAAATCTCCTCAAATGAGGTCACTAGGCATTTACGAATTATTCAAGGATAAAATTACTAATTTATTCATTTTGTCACAACTTTAAAAATAAAATCTCCTGAGAAAATCAGGAGATTCGACAGCTATATAGTTTAATAATAAAAACCGAAATTTTTTTGCTTCTTTTAAGACAACCGTGATATGCATACCTGCGAACTTTTACGCATTTGGCGTGAAATTTTATTTCTATACTTAAAGTGGTGGTAAAATGTGTGCTTTCTATATATTCCTCGCATTTATAAACTTAATTTATAATCTTTTTGACCCACCACTATTTTTAAAAAAATTAATCATATATAATATTATGAAAAGACCCACTCAATGTCTCTCAATGTCTGTAAGTTTAACTTCAAAATGAATGGGGAAAGGGCCGTAAGGCCTCAGACCCCCAGTTCCACTACAACGAACGAACGGACTCGCAATGTCTGGCTCCGGCCCTGTGATAATAAAAAAAAGTGATTTTTTTTCTTATTATAAACTGTACAAAGATTGCCAAAAAACAGTTAAACAATTCGGAAAAGGATTTTTTGCGTAATATTTTGGAACAGGCCTTTGGAAGTAAACTGTTATTTTTATGACAGGTATCATTAAATAACAGGTGCAAAATACCTGTTCCAGAAAATATTGGACATCTCTATAATACTGTTTTGTTAATTCGCGAAAGCTTATTCAAAATTCAGCCTATATTTCTGTCTAAAATTGTAATTTGAATTCCATTTTGCTACCACTGAGAAAAATCATCCTCGAAAGGATTAAAAGTTGGTAGGTATGGATTATCATCAACTAGTATGTAAGGCTGAAAAGTACCGGAGGATAGCAAATATCTTAAAAAGTTACACACCAGAATAAAACAGGGCGTCTACTGGTCACCCCGATCGATTCAGGTGTGTACGAAATTTTTCGTGACCTTTATTCCTAATTCGGTGATTTTAAGGTTAACTAGTTTTTAAGATACAATTACTCGAACGAATCTGATATTCTGGAATGGGAATTAGTTTTTAAAAAGAAGTGGTAATAGACTGCTCCACTAAAATAGTTTTTTTCTGACTGTAGATACTCTGTTAAATTATACTTTTCTCATTTTTAATTACCTATGAAATTATTTTAATTAAAGAAGGGGAATCGCAGAGGTTGAGAAATAAAAAGAAAATTATGAGAATCGCCGGTATAAATAACTGGATGGTTGTACGTGCGTCACGTGTATTTTCGAAAAAAAAATAGATTTTTAAATTATTTGAAAAAAGTTCCCTAATTAAAAACGAGGTTAAAATATCAGTCACAAACATGATTTACATTTCTATAATGATTTTAAAGACGAATTTGTAAGTCATAAGTGCATGCATAAATATAATATTTAAAGAGATAAATATGCAAATTTTGTTTTCAGAAAAATGTCTGCAGTAAAGAAAATTTTTTAGAAATTGAATAACAATAAATGTATGTAAGAAACGTACGTTCCAAATGATTATAAGCAATAAGCTTTAT